TCTTGATGCTGAGATGCTGAGTGCAGTTCCCAGGGGAGGAATTTGGGGGCGCCACTCTCGCTGCTCTGAGTGTGCGCTGCCTCTGACTCATAAAATAAATGATGAGCGCTATTTCACTTTTTGCCTTTCTTCATAAAAGTGAAAATCCTCTTCAGATTTCTTTTGGTTAGTAAAAACAGATACTAAGGTAGGTATTTCGTAAAAGCAAAGTGGCATTAACTCAAACTTTGAAAATCCTGAGTCATATCCTACGGAGTTGGCACTGTGAGGGGCTCCTTCCCAGTATTTTCTCTGCATGCATGCTTGGGATCAGGACACAGTCTAAGAGAGAAAGAGGGCAGTTGTTTATATGGAACCAGAATCATGCTGGGTATAATGTTAAATCCTGCTTCATTTATGTCATAAATAGTTCCCCATGTCATTTAATAACAACTAATATTTATTGAGGTTTACTACATGATAGTCCTCTTCTGAGCACTTTATAATTATTAAGTCACTTAATCTTTTCAAGAGCTCCTAATATAAGTACTATAATTATCTACATTTGTTACATGAGGAAACTGAGTCAAAGAACTATTTTAAAAAGTTGTCCATATTCACAAAGCTAGAAAGTGATAGTTAGGATTCAAACCGTGATCTCACTCCAGAGTCTGTGGCTTTTAACAGTTATGCTATTGACTTCTATTATTTTGAAACATGATTTATAATATCAATATGATATTCAGTCATAAACAGTATTGATATTGCTTTTTCCCTTAATGTTTTATTTGTGTGAACACTTTCCCTGGCCATGACAGTGATTTGCAAACATAATATTTAATGGCCACATAATGTTCCTGTGTATGACTATTTGTATGAACCCTGAGGCTTTTCCAGTTTTTAAGATGGTAGATGATGCTTCAGTAGTGTCCCTGTCTGGGCTTGGGCTTCTTTGGGACTAGGGTCTTAACACCACAGCCAAGGCAAAAGGCCATGTTTCGGTAGTCTCTGCCAAAGAAGAAGGTGTGTCACAGTTTACATGGATAGGAGATAATTTTGACAAACTGATTTCTGGAAAGTCGAGAAATTTGATCACTGTGACCCACCTCCAAAGGCAGGCAAACCACATACCTCTTATGGCCTGCATCCTGACTATCCCAGCATCCTTTTGTCATAGACAAAAAGGCAGATGAAGTAAATAACTGGGAAAACCAGAAGGAAGGCAAAGGAAATATCAGAGTTGCTGCTGCAGCAGAGGGCAGGCAGCCTCAGGAGGAAGAGATCTCATCTCTGGAGACCCAGTGGGGACGCTCCCAGGCTGCAGCGGAAGGGGTACCTCTTGGTCTCTGCAATGACAATGAGTTGAAACGGTAAAAGAAAACTCTGGTTCTTGCCCAACTGCTTGGCAGTGGGGATCCTGAGGCCTGTGGGCTCTCCGGGGTCTCTGATATAGCCTGCTGTTTCCCAGGGTTCAGGCTTGTCCGACCCCCAGCGTTCCACAGGTCAGAGTTCATGCTCCAGCCTGGACCTTGCGGTTTGGGCAGAGGCCTCTGGGAAAACTCTCTTCTCAGCCGCGCATACGAGGAGGTTCAGGATTCTTTCTTACCTTAGAGGATTCAGTTATTGTCCTGACAATCTGGCTATTTAAAAGATTTTTTTAGTGTTTATTCAGCATTTTTAGTCTCTCATACTTAGAGGGCTTCTTATGACATCTTCTGCCTTATTGGAAGAAATGAGAATTAAGTCCTTTTTTTTTGCCTAACACAGAAAGTAACAAGTTTTAAGTCTTATGTGGTTAACTTTAGAAGTTAAACTCAGGTCATCAGTTTTTTGTATCACAGTAATGAGCAGGGAAATATGTTAAAAAGTAGCAGTAGTTATTTGGGTCTCTTAATAGTGTCAAGGAATCTGTGCCAAATTCTTTCCAGGGAAGATCTCATTTAATCCACTGTCCCTGTTCTTTAAGGTAGATACTGTTATTCCCTTGGCAAAAGCGGGGATGCTGAGGCATGGAGAGGCTCCAGTAGTTTGCTCAAGATCACACGACTGACAGGCAGTTCACAGTGGTGACCTTGCGTCCTCAAGAATGGTTAAATTATGTTTGATCAGTATTTTTTAGGCCTGGTACATTGCTCTTACAAAAGACAGAAAAATGTGTAATACATCTCAAATTTCCATTTAAATTGTGTTGTTGAAGTTATAAACATAAGCATATCAAACGAATACTGAAGGCAGTTGACCTCGCTTTCTTAACTATTTTGCCTCCTCTAAGAAAACTTGCTCTTAGAATACCTCCCAAGGATTTTTCTGGCAATCAAATCCAGACACATTTGTCAGACTGGATGAGAAGGGAAACTGGCCAAGGACTTTAGAGATGAATTGCTAGATGTGCAGACCTTTTGTTTCATAATTCATCCCAAAACACTTCTCTCCCACAACGTCTGGTATTTGGTTTTAGTGTCTATATATACACCTCTCTGAAAGTTTTTATTTTTTAATTTTTTTCCAGTTAAATGTTATGAATCAGACATGGCAAATGTGATTTCTTAGTACAGTGATTTTACAGGGTGAAGTTTTAAGTACTACTTTCTGAAGTAGTGAGTGTTTACAATGAATCTTATTTTCTGTGTATGACATTGTATCCTGTTTGCCAGGTTTATGAAATAGTAACTATAATGTATATTTGTTTTTCTCATGTTTTCATTCTCCTAAAGTAACTAATCCATTTTCCCCTAGAGTAACCAGTCTCTGTTGGTCTAGGAAAATCAGGCAAAAGGTTTTTGGAAAGACATTCTACCCAAACTCCCAAGTAGGCCATTTCCCTGGCATTTTCATTCCCTCTGTGCCAGGCTGGTAATGGAGACCTGTGTCACCACCTCCAGATACCCACTGGAACCCTTATGGTCTTCTGCCCTCCAGAGCCTGGTACTTCGAAGGCCAGGCAGAAGAAAAGAGCCACCACTTTGGCACTTACGAGCCCACCCCTCCCCTAACTTGCATCTCAGAAAGTCCACTTTGTCCTGCAGGGTGGCCCCCTTCCCTTGCCTCTGGCTAGCCTCGAGAGGTAAGGGAGGCCAGGACTCACTGGGGTCTTCTGCCCTTCCTGTGCACTTGGTGGGGGGGTAGGGGAGAGGAGAGCAAAACTGCCTTTTAATCCTTTTGTGAATGAATCCACAGCAGCAAAGAACATGGTACACTGGTTTATATCTCATTAAGTCATCCTGTTACACCAAACCTTATGTTTATGCGGTACCTTAATTGTCTTAAGCTAAACTAGAAACCTCTTCTGGAAAGTGCTTGGTCTTTTTTATTTTCCAATTCTTTCATCAAATAAACTAAGATGTGTTTCTTAGTACCTGCCACCACCATTTTCTCATTTGTAAAATGACTAAAAGCCTTGTACCTTTATAGTAAGTCATGCATATAAATAGCGTAAAAAGCTCAGATTTCTGAAGGGTTCATGTGACTGTAAGATTTGGGAAATAAAGGTGTTGCTCACTCTTTACTTGTATTTCCCTAGGATAAGGGTAAATGAGCGCCTTTCCTTCAGAAATTGAAAGACCCCAAAGGAAATATAAAACTAAGAAGTCAACCTCATTCCTCCCACACTTGGCTCGGCCTGCTGCACCGGCCTTGCCCCCCTCACCTTGTCCTTTCTTCCCAGCTGAGCTCCTGTAATCTCTCAGGAGAAGGTGGGAACTTATTTCCGTGTAAGAATTTGTTTCTTCATTTCAGTGCTGGGAACAAAAATTGGAAACGCGTTCACATTTGGAAATAATTTTGTCTCAGAACCTTTGGAAAAGGAGGTTAGAGCAGTATTTCTGAGGCAGAAGCTTAGACTTTCCCTTGTTCTCCAAGTGCTGCCGTGGGTCCCTTTTCTACGAGCATTAGTGTTCATTTTCAGATCCAGTAGGTGGAAATCAGCTTTTAATAACATCAGTGTCTGCTTTTGAACGGGATGATGCCAGTGCAGAAAGCTGGGTAGATACAATGAAAGGCTCCTTTTGTAATGTAATGCAGGTCTCCTCTAGTACCTGAAGGTAGAGCCTTCCTATGAAATCTTCATAAGCCAAAATGGTGTAAAGTGAAGGAGCAGTTGCCATGAATTTATATGTAAAAATTTTTTTTAGCATTCCCAGGGCCAAAAAGTAACCTCTCTTAGTCTTTTCTGATACCTTAGGACACATGTTGCCAACGTATGCACAAAATAAATTGAGGTAAAACACAGATGCTCACAGACCACCATTCAAAGCCATGGCGTCTTGATGCTGAGATGCTGAGTGCAGTTCCCAGGGGAGGAACTTGGGGGCGCCACTCTCGCTGCTCTGAGTGTGCGCTGCCTCTGACTCATAAAATAAATGATGAGCGCTATTTCACTTTTTGCCTTTCTTCATAAAAGTGAAAATCCTCTTCAGATTTCTTTTGGTTAGTAAAAACAGATACTAAGGTAGGTATTTCGTAAAAGCAAAGTGGCATTAACTCAAACTTTGAAAAAGCAGGGGTACCTATAATCTAAAACTAAAGTTGGCACTAGGAGGTCCGGCTGAACATGCACAGGAATTACATGTAATCCTCCTAATCTGCTGCCACAGCCGGAGGTGAATGTACCTCCCCCGTGGGCATTCCTCAAGCAGCAGGTGGCAGCTGGGTGAGTGTGGGCACCTTTGCCTTGTACTGGAGATAGATTGTCTTGTATTTGTTTTTCCTATTTAAAATTGATTCTTGAAATGTATGTAGTTGTTATTTGTTTACAATAATGTTCTTCTAACAGTACTGTTAGATCTTTATTAGATTTTCTTCTTTCACTGGCACTAGTTCTGCATTTATCTATCCCGGTACTTCTCAAATTCAACTCAGCATTCCATTCATCAGAGCTAAATAAAACAGCTAAGTAATATATTCAAATCTGCCGGCCCTTGATGTGAACCTATGGAAGTTAAATATAATGTGTGCACTGTGGTCTTCGGTGTTACCTTAAAGACACTGTAGTAATAGTCTTTAAGATACAGTAATGTGAGAATTAAAAAATTATTACATTCTTAGATGTTAGTAAGTTTTCTGCAGAAGTGTCTGGATACTTCAAAGGCTTTGCTGTATTTAATAATTGAACAAGACACCACCATAGGTATGTTAACACATTTACAGAATCTAGGAAATGACAGGACTTAGCAGTGAGGAATGGAGCATGGATTTAGAAATCAGCAGATGTGGTGTGAAAGCTCAAACCCTGCACATGCTTGCTGTAGGACCTCAGGCAAAACACATCTCCGAGACTGTTCATTCCTCTGTACGTTACTTACCTTATGGTTATGGTAATGATAAAGTCAGTTAATATATGAGAAGTACTTGGAATATAATAAATGCTAAATAATTGGTTACTCTTATCCCTGTGCCTATTCTTAATTCTGAACTTCCATTACTGGCACTTTATATTAGGTACTAAATGGCTACCAAAGAAGACAATGGGATTAACGCCTGTGTCTTCAAGGCTCCCTGCTCTGGCCACCACCACCTACTATCACTAACGGCTGCTTAAATGTAAGTCCAGTGCTTCCAGTGAGATCATAAATTACTTGAAAACAGGATCATCTTATAATTTTATAATATACTTGACAATACCTGCAACATTGTGGGGGCATTAACCCAGCTATACAATGAGAGAATATCTTTAAAAATCTATTTTAGGGGACCATGGTGACAAGTGAAATGGTTATACTTGTGGAGAGCAGGAAGACGTAGAGCTGAACCTGCCGGTCTCTCCTGACCCCTGCAGCCCTGAGCTCTGCCATCCTTCATAAACACGTTAAGTGAGGGGATAAAAACAAAAGAGGACCATCAAACCTCAAACATACAAATGTCTTGTGGGGTGGTCAGTTTTCAATATGGTACCTACTTTTGAAGTCATGTTTTTATACACAAGTTTGTACAAGTTGTGTACAAACTCACACAGGACCAGATTGTGATCCTGATGTTTATGCTGCATCTGTAGAGTGATCAATTGCTTGCCAAAATATTCCTGCTAGCTGCTGTTAATGTTATAACTTTGTGATCTCCTGTAATTTGCTTTTGCCGTATTATAGCTTAAGGTTAATGCAACACAAACAACATTATTTAGGCTTGTGTCTTAGGGCCATGATGTTCTAATTTTGGGTGAAAATGACCGAATATATTGCTTTCTATGCTTTATTTCTTTTTGCTATTTATCATTTTTCCCCATCCCAAGTTATCAAACATTCTGTAAAATTCAAAACATTTTTTCTAAATAGATGCCCTCAACTCTTTATTACCAGAGAAAAGTAGAGGGGAGAGTGTTTCTTATGTTGTAAAAAAAGAAAAGGGTGGACAGTCTACTCAGGGTTTCTGATAAAACTATAGCTGCCCTTTGGGATGAAGATCATCTTATGAGAAGTAAAGAAAAAGCAACTTCCATTATCTTCTCAGAATGAGCAAGGACAGGCTCAGGTTCTTTTTACTAACTGCTTTGAATTCCTGCTCCTTATTTTCTTGTTACCAACAGGCATTCCTGAAGATATTGGTGAAAGGGTATCTCGCCGTGACCCTCCTTACCCATAATGACTCAGGAGACACTGGCCCATGCAAGAGAATTTACTATCTGAAGGAGAGAGTGGCTGCCCCAGATGGGGGTGGGGAGAGAGAGAGAGAGAGGGAGCAGCAGAGAGAGCAGCAGGACAGAGAGAGAAAAGAGAGAAAGAGAGAGAGAGAGAGCAGGGAGAGCAGGGGACAGACAGAAAGAGCGAGAGGGCAGCGAGACAGACAGACAGAGACACACAGAGAGAGAGGCAGTGGCATGGTGCCTTTTATTGTGGCGGATCCCCTTGGCCTGTTGCTTTGGGGGAGGGTTGGGATGTTTAGAGATAAGGTGAGGCAAGCCCTAGGCAAGCCCAGGTATAATCCTCACCAGCTTATGTGCTTGGGACCATGGGGTAAATGGAGGATAAATAACTATATTCTTATATTCCTCCCTTTTCTGTTTTATAAGTGGTAGAGGATTTGGGAAGGGGTGAAGGTTAGTCTTCAGTAACTACTTCCTGATGATTAGGGGCGATAAAGTTCATTTTTGTATTAATGGGGGGGTCGTCCTCAGATGAGCCCTTGGTCTGCAGTGGCGATGGCATTTTCCAGGTTCAATAAGGATCATCGTCTTTGGAGAGGGGTTGGTAATCCTGTAATATAAGCTGGTTAAAGGTTTGGTTAGAAAATTTTGCATTTGGGCTGATTGCTATGTTTACATAGGCTGGCTGAATTAATAGCATTTTGGGGGGACATGTGTAGGCAGAAAAGTGACCTGTAGGGCAAAGGGATTCTTTGATGGTGCAATCTTTTTGACAGTTTGAAAGAGAAGAAAGGGCTGGTGTTGGGAAGATAGGTCTGGTGAGAGAATAAGTGTTGAGACTAGGGTTAACTGTTAGGAAAGAGTATAAAACCTAAATGTGATTTATTCCCACTAAGATGTTTAAACATTTTAACAGTAAGGTATTATCAAAGGGCCACGTAGTGGAAGCTGCTCAGGCTGAGAGTGGGGGTGGGGGAATTGATAAGGGCCTGGCTATACCTGTTTGAGTTTTTTTAACCCTACCAATAAGAATAAGACATGTAAAGGAAAGATATAACGGGCTTAGGCGACCTCCGGGGAAGACTGTGAACCCTGTAGTACTCAGCCAATGAGGAACCAGGGGAGGGTCTCACGCACTAAGAGATAAATTATTGGCACCAAACTCCCCAAGTGTGCCTGCCCAACAGACACCCAATCTTGCAAGACCGTCATTAAAGCCTCGCTCCGCTGTTCTCTTTGTCTCCATGTCCACTTATTGAATTTAGACCAGTGAGTGTGCTTCTCACAATTTGGAGGCTCATCTGGGATCCTCTTGCCTGTGCAGGGTGGGAGTCCAAGCAGAGTGGGAAGACGCATCCCGCCTGGCTTTGGGCAGCCCACTGTGTCTGGGCATCTCACCTTTGCACAGAAGCCAAGGGGAGACCCGAGACTGTTGTGCAGAGACAGCGTGACTGAATCAGGGGAGAAAACGCAGGCACCATGGCAACCAGGTAACCTCGTGCATTAGCCAAGGTGGAAAATTGGGCTATAAGTACTGCCTTGGTGGTTGGGCATTTTTCAGAGGTCGAGTGTGTGTAGCTGAGACGTGTAATCTCGGGGTGTGTGCAAGAAACTTCCATCATGGGGAGTTGAGTACACAGGGAACTCAGACACAGAGACCTCTTGAAAGATGGGAAATAAAAATTCTAAGCCTAGGGAAGCAGAGAAGGGGAACCAGATGAGCTCCCTTAGAATTCCCCCCAGAGAGCCTGCTGGGGTGAAGTTTACAGTACTGGGGGGACGCCTCCTGTACCGGGTTAAGGACAAACAGAAAATGATCAAATTTTGCTATTCTGTCTGGATTAAAGTTAGATCAGATGAAAACTGGCTTTGCCAGGTTTGAGTTATTTTTTGATGGTAATAAAGCCTCCAGTTCACCTGAGGAATGTGTTAGTTACCAACGGCGCTTCCCCTATTTCCCCTCAACACCAGGGAAGGGAAAGCTAGGAAGAAGAAAATACAAGAGACCTCCCAAGACAAGCCCTGGTGCTGGGAGAGCGTTGTATGTTTTCCTCGGTCCCTTTCCCCGCTGTAGCTGCAGCGGAGAGTTGAGAGGCGGGGACATGGTGGTGAGGTCCGAGTGAGAGTTTTGTTTGGAGTTACTCCTGGACAGAGAAAGTGAGGCCGCCTCAGGAGGGAGGGGCACCCTGGGAGGTTGGAGAGAGAAAGTTTTAAGTTAAAAAGTTGTGCACTTTGAGGGTGCTGGTGGCCTCAGAGAGAGGAGCACCCCAGGGGTTGGGGATTCCCATTTTAAGGATTCTTTAAGTGTGGCCGGTGAAAGGGCAAGCTCCCATATTCTATTTTAGCCAATTGAGACCCGGATCCTACCTCAGCCAATTGGGACCCGGATCCTATTTCGCCCAATCGGAGCTTGGTCTCTCTCCCCTCCAGTCAGCAAGAAGTACACTCACCACCCCTAGACCCTGCCAATTGACCAAAGCCACGACTCATCACCCCCCAACTACCCCCAGGCCCACCCAATCAGCCAGGGCCATGGCCATCACCCCCCAAACTGCCCTGGAAACCCATAAAACCTTTGTTCTAGGGAAAACGGGCTCTCTTTCTCTGGCATCTTGCCACTGCTTTGGTGTAGATGAGAGATTGAGCTTGAGCTAGCTCCAATAAAGGCTCTTTGCTTTTGCATCGGTGTTGGCTCCTTGGAGGTCTTCTGGGATTCGCAACTTTGGGCACAACATTTGGAGGCTCGTCCAGGATCCCAGAGACCCCCAGGACCCCCAACCCAGAGAGTCCTGTGCCAGCTGGTTAGTGCACTCAATTATCTGTCTGTCTGTGTCTCACTGTTTTTGTTCGTGAACAAGCCTGTATAAGCCTGTAGGAGCTCCAATCTGTATCAGGGTTAGCATTGACTTAGGCAGACGCGCTGGCAGGTCGTCGACCAAGGGTCTTGGGAGATGTCCCTTGCCCCATCTGTGAGGAAAGTTGGCTGCCGCTGCAGTCCAACAGGCCCTCAACTTACTTTCAGTTTTGCCTCCGCGGCCACGGCAGATTCTTCTCTGTAGGCGCCTGTTTGTTTGTCGTGTTTGTCTTAAGTCTTGTTGACAGAAGAAATGGGACAGACTCAGAAGACCCCCTTCTCTCTCATGACAGACCATTTTTCTCAGACATTAGGGAGAGAGCTCACAATTTGAGCATGGACGTCAGGGAAAATTTCTTGTTTTCTGCACTTCCGAGTGGCTGTCCTTTAACATTCGCTGGCTGCCGGAGGGAACATTTAATCCAACCACTCTTTTACAGGTTAAAGATATCAGGAGAAGAGCTAACAACCTCAGTGTGGAAGTCCAGAAGGGTCGGTGGCAGACTTTTTGTTCTAGTGAATAGCCAGTTTTCAATGTCGGATAGATGCCAGAGGGAACCTTATCATGATGTCTCAGTCTGTATGTTTGTGTGTCTAAGTGTGAAGGGCCCCCACCCATAAGATGGTGAACCTCCTGCTTCTCTTCCAGGTCTTCGGTTCCCGCCGGTGCCACCCGAGGCCCAATCACCTCTTGCCACCCCCTAATCCTGGCACCTGGCCAATAGCCACCAGTCCCGTTGAAGTGACACCTCAATCAGCTTATGTCCCTCCCTATATAACCTAGTACTTTTCCCCAATAAAGTGGAACTCTCCGGTGAATTGCTGCTGTGTGTCGCTCCTTCCTTTCATTTTGGTGCTGAAACCCGGGAGACGGGACACCCCAAGTGGGCCCTGTCTTCCCCCAACACCAGCGGCAGCTTGCCCTCGTCCTCTTTTTCCAGAGCTGGCTCCTCACACTCACCACTCCTCTTTGGCCTTTGGGTAAGTTTTCCCCTGGAGTGGGCCCCTCTTCCCCGAGCTATCGCAGCGCCATTGACCGTGATCATCCAGCAAGGCCCTGACGCTCGGGGACGAGAAGGGAACTCTCCCTGCCTCAGGTCTTCACGGCTGTGGCGGACCCTCAGGCCCCTCCTCCGACAGTCATAAACACACTCACTGCCCCTTCCTTTCATTAGTGCCGAAACATTTCGGGTTAAGATTCCCACAGGGTGGGCCACTCTTCCCCGAGCTATCGCAGCGCCATTGACCGTGATCATCTGGCAAGGCCCTGAAGCTCGCGGATGAGGAGGGAACTCTCCCCGCCTCAGGCCTTCATGGCTGCGGTGGACCCTCAGGCCCCTCCTCCAACAGCCATAAATGAGGTGACTCCTTTGCAGATGAGAACACTCCCTTTCCCCCACCCCCTTCCTTTCCTTCTGCCGAAAATTTCTAGTACTAGGTTCCTCGTGACTCCAGCACTCTGCCTTCTTAGAGAAGTCTGGGTGACGACCCACACTTCCTACAAAATTCCGACTCGTATACGAGTTTCCACAGACAACCAAGGATCATCGGGGATGCCCTTTGTCTCCTTGGGGTCTGCTCCCAGTTCGAGGATCTCCTTTTGTCTTCCCCTGTTTGTCTCCTTCTCTGTCCTTTAGCCATGGGAGCCTCCTCATCCCTCCCTAAAGATTCACCTCTTGAATGCCTGCTCAAGTATCTAGCCACCCTCTCCCTGACACCTGATATAAAACCAAAACTTCTCTGTAAATACTGCTCCCAAGATTGACTGACATACCCCCTAGACAATCACAACCAATGGCCCGCAGGGGGAACTCTTGATTCTAACATCACTCATGATCTTTTAAACTACTGCCAGTGCCTGAAAAAATGGAAGGAGATTCCCTATATTGAGGCTTTTCGCCTCCTAGCCCAAAATCCCGGCCTCTGCACCACCTGTTCCCTGCCCCAAGTTCTCCTAGCCTGCAGGCCACCTCCCTCCCCTGCACACACTCCCAGTCCCTCTTTGATTACCTTTGACCTGGCCGATGAACCTCCGCCATACAGGCTTCCTCCTTCAGCCGCTCCATCTCCTACAACCCCTCCGCCCTCTTCCGCCATCGCTGCCGCCTCCACCTCCTCCCCTGCAGAGGCCTCCCGACCACTCCCTTCCCCTTCTTCTCCTACAACAGCCCTTCCCCCTTCCTCTCCCACCATTTCCTCCCTCATCTCACCTCCTCCACCTTCACCCCCCTCACCTGCCCCTCTCCGGCTGATTGAGCCTGAGCCTTTCAGCCCCCCTTTAACTAGGTCCCGGGGGCCTCCTCCATCTTTGCCCTCATCACCTGTTTCTCCCTCACAGACTGAGCCACAACCTTTCAGTCCCCTTCAGACTCGATCCCGGGGGCGTCCCCAAATTATTGCCCCCCTCCGAGAGGTGGCGGGACCTGAAGGTATCATGCGAGTTCACATACCTTTCCCCTTAGGGGATTTAGCCAACTTGAAAAACGCCTTGGTTCCTTTTCCACTGATCCCATGACATACATCAGGGAGTTTCAATGGACCCTCCAGTCTTACAGCCTCACACATCATGACATTCTCATGCTCCTAGCCAATAACCTCCTTCCTGAAGAGCGTAGATGAGTTTGGGACTTCGCCCAAACACACGCTACCAAAACCCAGAGGACTGACCCCACCTATCCCACTGGCCCCACCACTGCCCCTGAACAAGACCCGCACTGGGATTATAACACCTCTGTAGGTCTCCAGTCTCGGGATATTTTTGCCTCCTGCTTAATAGCAGGTCTGAAAAAGGCAGCTAGTAAAATAGCCAATTTTCAAAAGCTCCAGGATGTAATTCAAAAAAAGGAAGAAACTCCCTCCAAATTCCTAGATAGACTCATCCAAGCCCTGTTACAGTATACCAGCCTAGACCCAGAAACGCCAGATGGAAGACATATCCTTATGACATACTTCCTGTCTCAAAGCTACCCCGACATTAAAGCTAAACTCAAAAAGTTAGATCAGGGCCCCGCTACCCCACAGACTGAGATCCTAACAGTGGCCTTTAAAGTCTTCCATAACCGCGAGGAGGAGAAAGAACGCTGTAAACAAAAGGCTGATCAGGCCAACTTTCAGATGTTGGCCCAGCTGATGAAACCAAAACCTGGGCTCCCCTCCACAAACAAGCCCCCCCCCCATAGCTTGTTTCAAGTGCGGAAAAGAAGGACATTGGTCAAGGGTGTGCCCCTTCCCCAGACCTCCTACCACCCCATGCCCCAGATGCCACAAAAAGGGCCACTGGGGGTCTGATTGTCCAACCACCCGAAGGGGAGACTGGACGAACAACCCCCCTCCTAAGCCCACTGTAGTGGGACTGGCAGAGGAGGATTCATGGGGCCTGGGGTCTTCTCGCCTGACCATTTCTATCACCAAACAGGAGCCCAGGGTTACTTTAACAGTAGACGGTCGCCCCATCTCCTTCCTCCTAGATACAGGAGCCACCTTCTTGGTCTTGCGAGAATACCAGGGCCCTACCATGCCAGCCATTACTCCTATAGTTGGGGTAACAGGAAAACAGATCTTCCCATTGAAAACCCGTCCCCTTTTATGCACAATCCAGGACAATCCCATACCTTTTTCCCACTCCTTCATGGTTATGCTCCAGTGTCCCATCCCTTTACTAGGACGGGACATCCTTTCTCTCCTCCATGTTTCCATAACTATATCCACTCCCACAGCTCCCAGTACCCCCTTTCTGATGGCCCTCATAGCCGATGACCCCCTCTATCTGATGAAAGCTCCAGTCTCGCCCTCATACACCCTGTAGATCCCAAGGCCTGGGACATTACAAGTCCCTCCATGGCTCTATGTCCTCCTGCCTCTATTAAATTACGGGACCCCTCACAGTATATCTGTAAGGCCCAATACCCCCTAACTTCTTCAGCCCTCATAGACCTCCAACCCATCATTCAGGACCTTTTAAACAAAAATTACCTCAGACCCACTCACACTCCGTTTAATACTCCCATATTAGCTGTTAAGAAAACCAACGGATCTTTCCGCCTAGTCCAAGATCTCCGCCTCATTAACATGGCCATCATCCCTATCCATCCCTTAGTTCCAAATCCATACACCCTTTTATCGGGGATCCCTGCCTCGGCCTCCCACTTCTGTCCTAGATCTCAAGGACACATTTTTTTCTATCCCTCTGGACCCCTCCTCCCAAGATTTTTTCGCCTTCACCTGGACGGACCCATACACAAGACATTCTGAACAACTCACTTGGACAGTTTTGCCACAAGGTTTCCGAGATAGTCCCCATATTTTTGGACAGGTCCTAGCTCAGGACCTCAAACAGTTTCATCATGATCACTCCAAGTCCACCTTATTACAATACGCTTACTTCCCTCAGCTCTACTCCACATTCAGGCCCTCCCAAAAAAAACCTTCCTTCTTGTCACCCTTTGAGATCATGTAGAGCCACCCAATTTTACCCCCGGAGCTCCCCCCCAACAAAGGACCAATTCCTCCCAACATGGCCCTTCCACTACTCTTTCTCCTCCACACTGAGTTATGGAAATATCAGGATTGGCTCCACCCAGATCCATCCACTTCCCAAAACCCTCCTGTCTTACGACCCGGTCAACTAGTGTTTTATAAGCCTCCTGAAAATAAGCCCCCTCTCACCCCAAAATGGGAAGGTGCACACCCAGTCATTCTCTGAACCCCCTCGGCCGCTAAGCTCTCACTGCCTGATAACTCTGTCACCCCTTGGATTCATATCTCCAGGTTGAAACCAAACACCCAGGACCCACTTCCTCTGGACACCCAAGACCCAACCCAGAGTCCTTTGGATACAGCCCAAGATGCTGTCTACTCTTCCATGCTCCATCCCTCTGATCCTTTGAAACTCCGCATCTCCCATTCACCCCCTTTGCCATCCATACCCGAACCATGACCTTTTCTTTCTTTACTGCTCTCTCGCTCTTGTTCCTCATTTCTATCATCTTTCCCGTCACCTCAGCCTCCTTTGTATGGCAATTCGAGGTCAGACAGACTTACACACAGCATCAAACAAAAACCACTGCCCTCATTACCACATCAAACTGCCCTCTAAAAGGCTGCTCCGAGCCTTTGTACCTTCACTTTCCTCCCTCCACCGAAGTGTTCACTAGTAGCCCCCTCTTCACTCCCTACCTCTGCTTCCTCTATGACCAAAAACAAGCCTCATGCAGGCAGTGGCCAGACACCTATGGGGGATGTCCTTACTGGTCTTGTGCCATTAACTACATGGGTGACTCTCGGTACCCAGTTTTACTCCAACCATTTCATAAAATATCCCAAACAGCTCATTCTCCTTATCAATCCCTGATCCCTGGGACACTCGATGGGTCGCCGGAGTCACATCCTCAGTTTACTATGGGGGGTCCTTAACCCCCAACGGTACCCTTCATATCTCTCGAGAGTATGTTCCTTCTCATTCCCAGATCTCTCAAGTTGCATCAGATATCGGACATTCCGAAAAAGTCATTATTCAAACATTTGACGGCACCTCTTCATCTTCCTATCCCCGCCCCTCTTCTAATTTCTCCTACTCTTGGTTACAGCTCATTCAAGACACCATCATCTTTCTCAACCACACCCTCAACACCGCCAATTGTTTCTTGTGCGCATCACTACAGCACCCACTGCTGGCCACTGTGCCCCTTAATATTTCCAACTACTCCTTCCATGCAGAAGGACAACCCCTCCACCCCCCTGGCAGACATACCCTTATGGGAACCAGAATACACAGATAATCCCACCATCCACCACTGTGTAGGCCCAACTCCACCCCGCTC